ATTAGTGGTTATGGACCCAAAAAAATCTTCAAAAAAAACTTTTTTTTTGTCTTTTTTTTTGGCGGGGTGCTGACAACCCCCCAGCGGTAGGTGCCGACCAGCCAACCGATCGGCTGGTCGGATGCACCTACCAGCCAACCGGTCGGCTGGTCAGCATCCAACCAGTCGAGGGCCGCCGGCCGTCGGGGTATGCAACACTGGCAAGCATGCAAAAAAGACAGACGAGTACAAAACAGTTCAATGCTACAGGTCATCATTTGCATTACTGACCAAGTTCAAGGCATTGCAACGCAAACGCTCTGGAGTATGCTTGGTCCATCGCTTACTGACCAAGCGGATAAGCATGGTGTACAGTGTACATCATAGTGAAATCAACATTGTGTGGACAGAGGCCACAAAGGCACGATGCATTTCGTTTAAGGTCAAGAGAGCCACGTCATCTGCACCCTGACAACCCAGCATCAACTACATATAGTATATGAAACAACAACACAAAGTATGCTTTTTTAGTTCATAGATACATGACAACATATAGGGGAGGAAAGTTTTTTTTGGGGGGGGTGGGAGGGGGGGAGGGCGGGGCGGGAGAGCAGAAGAGAGATCCTCCATTCTATTAGCTAAGGCGCTTCTCCTGTGGGAATCTGTCCTCCTCCCAGCCTAGACGGTGGAACCTTTTTTTTGTTTTTTTTTTAATTAAACGATGCTCCAATGCAGCTCCATTCTATTAATTTCAAGTTTCAACCCTTCAGAGAGCTTCCATTGCAGCACCGCAGACGGACGATCTTCGTGTATTCATATTCCCTTGCCCTATCATAAATTACCTAGCAGTGGTTCCAGCCTTGTGAACCTCCTAGCCCTCCTCCGCTTCCTCTCTTTTCTCAACCAGACACCGTCACCTTTGCCCGTCTTCAGAGAGGCCAGAATGGCGAGGGGTTAAGCCACCATCCTGTAATTTATGACGCTTGATAATCTCGACCCCTGCATATTCCAACCTCCTCCACCTATCTTTCTCTGCTATCTCTACCACCATGGCTGTCCCTGCTACCGTCTTCTCCCCAAATATAATGTACGGTCGTTATAGCTGTGTATTGGGGGTAACTTGCAGTCTAAATCATACTTGCAAGCGGGCGCCGACCGCGCGGTTCTGCGCGTGCGGCGGACCGCCCGGCCTGACCCGCGCGGCGCACGAATGTGCGCCCGACGACCAGTTACCCCCCMCCCCGCCCCCCCCCCAAAAAAAAATGGCCCTGTCCGGTCCAGTCCGGTCCGGGGGGAGGGTGCCGCACGCGGCAAAGCGGACCGGACCGGACACTCGCCCAGTCCATCCGCTTGCAAGTATAGTCTAAATACAGCGACAACGACCATGCATTCTATTCGGGGGGAGACGGTACCGCGACCACCATCATGTGATCATTACTGCCATCATGACTGCCAAACAAATGTGCACTTTCAGTCCACATGCCCCCGTAACGACTGGCCGTTCCACTGAGTCGAAGACGGTGGTCCCCAACGAGAAACTGTGAGAATAGTAGAATACTCTCCCTCGCCGAACTTCAGGTCACCTGACATTCCCCGTGGTTTTGAAGTTGGTTTCTGAGCAGTAAACGAGAGCCCTTTCTTAAGTTTCTTTTTTTTTTTCCTTTTTTTTTTTTTGAGAGAGAGAGGGGCTCCATCTATTGGTGGGGAGCATCACCTGCTGGAAAACGGGTCCATTAAAGATGAAAGGACAGGTTTGGCTAGGCAGGGCCCCATTCACACAAAAGCGAGCTTGGCAATTTCGACGGCAGAACCACTTACCAGCGCAGTGTACTGAGTTGCAAATATATCAGCCGCAAACTGCCAGACACACACAGGAGCAAACACAAACACGTGGTCAGCAAGTAAAGAGAGCACTCAACTTGACCTTAGTTACATCTATTGCTTGATGGCATCGAAGCCGTCATTTGAATTGTGATAGAACAATCTAAAGTGTGAAATAATGCAAGGAAAGAATTATACTCGTAAACGGGCCAAGATTCCCAAGAAAGCATTCGACTGCAGGTCAGTTTCGTCACGGTGCACACAATGGAGAGAGAGAGAGAGAGAGAGAGAGAGAGAGAGAGAGAGAGAGAGAGAGAGA